ATAAATCCGGCATTATCGAGCTGTCAGTTCAACTGCTGGTGGCCGGGGCTTATCCGTCCGATGCCATGAGCATCCAAGTTCCCGTCGGACGTCGCGAGAGCCCTCATGGTCGAACGGTCAAGCTCGTTCTTTAGTAATTACCTTCTCATGCCCTTCACTTTTTTGGGGGCAATTATTTGTTACGCTCGCTGTCCCACGCTTACCTTGCTTTTTGGGGAGTACTCTGGGTTCGGGCAAAATTCCGAGCTCGGAGCACTCCCCGGACAGCAAGCCAAATACGCATTTAAATTATATTTGATTTCATGTACGTGTGAACTCGTGAAATGAAGTTTTATGTAAACAAAGTTCGGGAGGAGCATGTTCAGGTAATCAACCAATCAACTCAAAGGAAGCCGGTATAAATAAAGCTTTTCTCACCTCCTGTCTCACGACAAGTCTCTCAGCATCCCTCCACCACCCCATCATCTCACTCTCGGCTGGGTCTACCCCAGTATAGGGGGGAGTACTCTGGGTTCGGGCAAAATTCCGAGCTCGGAGCCCTCACCCGGACAGCAAGCCAAATACGCATTTAAATTATATTTGATTTCATGTACGTGTGAACTCGTGAAACTGACAAAGTGTGTCTGCTTCCGGGACAATGGTAGGAAGACTGTTCCAAAAATTTGGTGCTAAATAGGAAAAGGATCTACTGTCAGAAGTCGATTTTGATATTCGGTCCCACTTTATATTAAGTGGCTTTAAGTACTATGTACTTGCATTGAACAATAAGTACAATGTATTATTGTGTTCCTGTTGTATTGTAAAACACTTTTGCTGCTATTGAGGTGTGATACGGGTAAGGTTAGGGACAGGTGTGGTGGTATGGGTCGGTTTAAGGGTAAGTTAAGGTGTGAGGGGAGGGTCAACTGTGTAATTATTTTTCTAATAATTCAACGGCCTGTCGTCAATTATTCTGCTTATACTACAGTTACCACACCTCTCAAAACATTGTTCAGATGATGCATTTCAAGTTTTTGTCATTGACTGTAAATGTTTTTGTCAAACGCTCTTGTATGTAGGACTAATTTCTTATGCATCTAATCCCATGCCTCCATTGCTAATTCCAAAACGTCATTTTAGAGGTAGTAACGGAGGTTTGAGCCACTGATAGCAGACTAATGATGGAGACACACTTAAGACTAGGGCTGGGCGATATGGCCTAAAAAATTTTTTTTTCACAAAAAATCCGATTTACGATTTAAATCGATTTTTTTCTGTCCCTACTTAAAATCAATCTGCAGATGACAAAGAAATTGTTCAAAACAAGTTTAACTTTATTTAGTATTGATATTCCCTTCTGTGACATTATCTGGATTAAAGTGCAATCAGAAACAACAAGCCAAAAAGACAAGAGGGCAGACCCTGTCATTGTAAATAGTGTAAATGTAACATAACATGAAATGGGTGGATTGGGATTGTAAAAAAAAAATAAATAAATAAAAACAACTTGCACCACAATAAGTTTATTGTGATGGTCAAATTATTTGGTAACTAAACATAATTTTATTAGGTTTATTAACCATAAACACAATGTTTACATGGTACAAAGACTGTATGCTTTTTATTATTGTTTAACACAAATTTCACAATTTCAAAGATTTGATTCTGATATTGATTCAATATCAATTCCTTTGGAATAAATATTAGGTACAGTAGATACGTTAATGTGTTATGTTAATTGTTCAGATGAATGAATGGACAGAAAGAATGAAAAGTTTTGTATTTTCAGTTGAAAACAGTGTCGTGTGAACACTGGAGACTAAGTTAATAACTAATGATTTTAGAAACAGTCGGTCTTCGAATATTTCAGCGAGTCTTAAGTGTATCCCCCATCATTAGTCTGCTATCATTGGCCTCCGTTTCTACCTCTAAAATGACGTTTTGGAATTAGCAACGGAGGCATGGGATTAGATGCGTAAGAAATTAGTCCAACATACAAGAGCGTTTTAATGACAAAAACTTGACAAACGTCTTGAAATGCATCATCTGAACAATGTTTTGAGAGGTGTGGTAACTGTAGCGGAATAATTGACGACAGGCCGTTGAATTATTAAAAATAATGCACACCCGAAGTGGTAATGCGGTCACGACGCGAATCAGAGTTTGAAACAATCTTTGAAGCAGATTGTTTCAAAGTAGCTTTACAGTGATAAATAAGTAAAGCTACTTTGAAACAATCTGCTTCAAAGATCTGTATTATAAATCTGTATTATAAAAATTACATTATATTTAAATTAAAGTGACTAAAAGTAGCCAAACAGCCACACATTATATATTGCTATTGACCTTGATTTATTATCATTTTTATGTAATCTCTCAGTGAAGAAATAGACTTGTTTACTTGAATTTTTTTTTTTTTTTTTTTTTTGTGGTAGACAAACAGTATAATTAAAGCTGGAATTTTAATCAGCAATTTGTTTGCCAGTGTGTCATGTTTAATCAGAGAGCCACAATGCTGTAGGTTTAACAGGCATAGTCTACTTCCGAAAACTCTCTACATGATGTTTTAAGGCCTGTTACAAATAAGAGAGTGTGAGAGAGGTTGACATTTAGTTGGTTGAACTCCAGGCACCTATTATTAGCACATGCTAATATACCTTAGCATTCATTATTTGAATCTTTATTCTACACACAGTTTAGACCAAATTTGTGTGTTAATAAAGAGGCTTAGATAAATAGGTGATAATGGTCGTGTATTACTGTTAAATCAACAGACTGAATTGTCAGGTAAATACCCAGGAGAATATATCAAGGTAACAGCATGTCAGAACGATAGGATGAGAACGACAGGACTAGGCTCGTTGTCATTAATCAGGTCTTTAATTCGGTAATCAACCCATATAATTACTGTAGCTTAAAGCACTGTCAATCATCCAACTAATGCTTTTCATTGAAAAGTCCTTGCAAACAACAGTGAATTATGTTGAATTAGCTCTCTATTGTGTTGAAGAAACAATTTGTGACTTTAGACAATTGTGATCCCTATAGTACAGTTAATTTAGTATTCAAAGCGACTTACAACAGACTAGGATAATCTTACAGGAAACTTATTATGAGGATTATCTCCCCTTATCTGCCTAGTGTAAAGTAATTGTTTAAGGGCACATATCAACAACTCATTTCAATCCTTATGTTAATCCAGCAACCTTCTGGCTTTTAGCCGTGAGCTTTAACCTTTACACCGCAATACCCTATAATAATGCTAATATTCTATTCCACTTACTAGTACAGCATAAAGTATACAGTATAAAGCAACTATTATTGTTCCATCTTGTGACAGAAGTTTAATGATTCTGGATCATAAGATTCAGCAGATCTGGTTTAATGGTTAAAGTCTGGTTTGCTGTGATGCTTCTAATGGAAGAAGCCTGTAACAGTGCACAGTGCCAGCACTTTACTGAAAGGGCCTTTTTTCCACAGACCGCCTCCCCATAGTGTTCTTTTTCTTGTACCACACGATTTAAATTACTGCATCACCTACACTGAACACAATACCATGATTGTGAAATAATGCTTTGCTGCTCGTTAGTAATTTGGTTCAAATATGTTGTAGAATAGTAAGCCACCTAGGGTTATAACTTCACATAATTTTGAGTTACTAACTGACGATTAAGCTCTGCAACTTCTTTTTTCATATCAAGAATAACAGATAATACATCCTGACACCACAGATTTTGCTTATTGGTTTGACGAGGTGATGCATGTGAAAATTATGCAATTGCAACATATTTAGCATTATACAAATTGGCCATATAGTATCTGTAGTGCAATTTCAGTGAAAGGTTGAATTAATAAATAAACATTGTCAGAAAAAAAAAGGATAGAGCTGGTATAGTGTTGTTCTAGGTGGACAACAATGTTTTCAAGCAAAACTGAGCTGATGCAACTGGTTCACCAGCACTCTCACTCCCCATGCTAGTGACTAGCAAATCAGTAGCCATTATCCCATGCGGGTCATAGCACGCAAAACATACCTTATGCTGGTGACCAGCAATGCAGAATTTTTTTAGCAGCTAGGGTTTAAGCAAGTTTTTCAGCAATTTTAATGACAGCAGTAGGAGCTGCATGGATGAACCCAACAAGTTTGTATAAAACCCCATCATTGTGTACTCCAGCATGACTTTAGTCTTCTTACCTCAAACATGTCTTTATCAAAGTGTCACATGATCAATGTTACAAATGTACCTTTTTGATTAGTGAGAGAATCTAAAATAAATATTCTCCTAGTTTACTTCTGGGTTTTAAATTCTAGTTTTTAAATCGTGGTCTCAGACTTTGTAAGCCTACTTTATATATTTCAACTATGTATATCATTTGTGCAGGGTTAGACTTAAAAACCTAACAGGATTCAGTTTTTAGTCAAATTAGTAGGCAAATCATATCCGGACAAGAATGTAAATTACTGAGCATCAATACCAAAACTAAACATTTAGCTAAACAGCATACAGGCTGCACTGACATTCTCCCACAAAAAAAGCATCATGTTATACAACATCTGGTAAATCATTGTGTATATCAAGAGTAAACAATTGGTTTATTTCCAGCTGAACGTCCCTTAGCTATGGGAGCAAATGTTTGTCAGTGATCTTAACAGCACTCAATTTGTTACTGGAAGAGTGTTCTACATTCCTTTAAATACATTTGTGCTGGCTGTCTGCTCACTTAGACACCTCTCTCTCTCTCTCTCTCTCTCTCTCTCTCTCTCTCTCTCTCTCTGAGGCAAACAGCTATTTATTCCTCACATTCAGGACTGATAGAGCCTAAAATGTTAAAACATGCAGATACAAACTAAATCATAACATTTACAGTCATTAAACCAGAGGCCTGGAAGGTAATATTTGTATATTCTGAGTCATCTTATATTTCACTCTGATATTGAAGTGATGGTATATTATTCTGAAGAAGTGCTAGTAAAACATGCCATATAAAAAAAAAACAAAACAAAAAAAAACAGAAGTTCATTCATCATAGAAACATTAGGCTTTATTTCTAAGAGGAACACAGAGTATAGTACAACATTCTTTCAAACAAACATCTTTCTTTGCAGTAGAAAAATATGTAGGCATACACTGTGGCTTGTGTAGGCCCCTTTTTACATTCAACCTACATGATCCCTCTCCGCAATTACAGCAGCTTACAGTTCATTACAGTCCACCATCACCTTTGTTCAAGGCGTCAACCTCAACCGAATTTTATATTTCAGTGAAAGGGGGGACATAATCATGAAAAAGGCAACAATCTCATTCAGTACTAGCATTCTCTTTAACCACTCTTCCTCACATACTACGACCTCTTTAAAGTTATATCCAAAAGTCCCTCATCTTCTTTTCTCCAAATAACACTGGAGAATTTCCACACAACACGGGTCATAAATCACAATGCAGCTCACACAGGCACGCACAAAAACCATAGCAGCAAAAATGTTGTAGGAAAGAAGTGTAAAATACATCAAGAGACATAGGAAAAATTGGAAGTGCAACAGCAGGGATTTAGCACTTAATGGGCATCATTATCTCTCATGGACTCCCTTATAATGCATCATGCCAAGTGCATTCACTAAAAAGTGACCGATAAACTGGTACTATCAAATGAGATACACATTTCTCACATTTGAGAACTTCAATATGAAGCAATCTCATATTGTACCAGATTATTCCACTTCCATAATATGAGAATAACATGTTTTATGCAGTGCTGCTCTTGAAGGGACAGTTCACCCAAAATTGAAAATTCTGTCATCATTTACTCGCACTTATATCGTTTAAACCTTTACAACTTTCTTTCTTCGGTGGAACATTAAGGAAGATATTTCCTATAAGAACTGTTTTTATCCATATAATGACAAAGTGAGTCACTGGGGTCCAAAATGATATTCTACGGCATTTACTTTCTTTATATATCATTATATTTGATCTCATTTTGTGTTAGAATAAAGAAATGCATACAGGTTTGGAATGAAATGAAGTTGAGTAAATGACAGAACTTCCATCCTTTTAAGGATGACTTAAATTACATATTTATGTCCAGTTACATTTCAGAAGAAGGATTCCCAAAATTCAGTGATTTCAGATGGGTAACAATAAAATGATTGCTCTTCAAGGTAACAAAATAGTGTTTTTAAGAATCTATTTCAGAGAAAGTTTGTTCACTTTATACAAAGACATTTGTAAAGATATCTGAAACTATGCCATTGTATTACAGTTAATCACAGAAAAACACAAAGGAAGGCATCCTATGTTATGAAAATTATTGGTTTACCTCATGTCAGATCTACAGAATAGCGTGTTATTGCTAAATGCTACTTTCATGAGACTTTTCATAAGTCAATTTTGAAACGAACTAAGCGCTCCATTTGCATTTGCCCTTGTTACAAGATTTACTTCAAATTCTTCAGAGGGTCTTGAACTGTCACCAGTAGGGGGTAGTGTTCTCAATATGACCCCAGCTCTGCCACTCGGGGAAGAATCCACTAGATGTTCTTGGGCTCCCGAACTGATCAAACTCCATCTCTGGCCGTTTGCCTTTATTCTTAAAATCTGTTGTCGTCGTTTGGGTGACATTGGCCTGACTGGGGTCATTCTCTGTATGTACCAGCTTGTAATTTTCCCCGTTGTTATTGTCCCAGTATGTCGTATCATGCGTTTTGTAGGATATGCAGAACTCCACCTGCTCATGTAAGCCCACAGAACTTGGAAGGTCGATGGAAAACGAGAAGGTGTCAACATCTTCACAGCCATAAACATTATTCATGTACGTACAAGGAATGTCAGCATAGCTTTTCCATGAATCAAATGTTATTCGCACATGGACGACCTTCTCAAAGCTTACATTGATCACTTTGACCGTGCCGGTGAGTGATCTCTCTTGAATTATACAGTTTTCCAAGCATACCAGGTTCTTCTTTAGACTGTTTCGGAAGTCCAAATAGTCTGCGGCAGGCTGAGGAAAGTCCAAAATCAAATTCTTCTCCTTCTCCTCAGCCTTTAGGCCCACAATGACATCCTCTAGGTCTGATAATTCAAACTGCAGGTCTAACATGGGGTCTTCCTCAAATTCCTTAAACACATGGACTGCTGTCAGAGACATGCCTTTGGAGTCAGCAAAAACCACTTTCTTTTTAGCTTTGGTCTCGGGACTCTTCCATCCAAGGTTGGCAGTGTTCACGTCGGTCTTTGAGCTGATGCAGGATCGCAGAGGTTTGTACTGGTTGACTAAGTACCTGGACTTGCAGTCCTCATATGAACTGAGGAAACTGCGAAGAGGCGGTGAGTGTGCCAGACAGATTCTCATTGCCACATCCACAGGCATAATTGGACTTGGCATTGGCCTGGGGTTCAGTATCTGCAGAACCCTGTCATGAAGACAATGGTGAAAAACATTACAGTGACCAATTAAGCAGGAGATGTGACAGTCACATAAAGATTCGCCCAGAATTTAGAGATTGAGTAAACAAAACCACTATTGTGTAGCTAGATTAAGCTATTTCAAAAACAATTAGCCATAGCTGTTGATTTAAGCTTTTCTGATAATAAATATTTAAAATATTTATTTTTAATATATGATAAAATGCCAGATGTATAGTTAAGAATTGGGATACATCCAAAAGCAAAAAAGTATAAAACATACAAAACTAAAATATTGATTCCAGTTTTAGTCACTAGCACCTTGTTAGACACTAGTGTGTTTCAATTGTTACTAGTTACATTTTTATTTTATTTTTTACCTATAACGTAGGCAATCTGGCTAGTCATTACTTCAAATAAGAAATATTACTGGTTACATGTGGGATAGGCAATGATTTCTACCACTAACATAGGCAATCTCACTAGTCATTACTTCAAATAAAAAATTACTGGTTACATTTGGGATAGACAGTGTCTCAAAAATAGGCACTAGTGTCTCAAAAATAGGCACTAGTTTAACGCGTAGTAAAGCTATAACAGAGACTAGAAACAATAATATGTACTAGAAACTACCCATACAACAACATATGCAATACTAGTCTAGACAAAAGTGAATAAAAGTGAAATCTGTATGAAACCCCATATAATTCACTAGTAAAATTAAATAATAATAATAATAATAATAATAATAAAATAGTTAACTTGTGGGTAGTAGTAGTAAACGAAATATGAAGTATAGTGACAAATAGATTAGTAACAGGCTAGTAGTCACTTTTGGAACAAATAACCAATCTGATTGATGCATTTACAAATATCTATACAAAGAGGAATTGAAAAAGACAGTTAACCAATTATCACCAGCTATTACAATTTTACCAGCAATTAAAAAAAATACTAATAACATAAATATATAGTGAGAACAGCTTAACACTGGCAATGTCCAAATAATAATTGAATTAAATAAAAACGACATATATTAAACTGAATCTAAATTATAAGTGATATTTAGAGGTAATCTTTTCCAGCGCTCAGATAGAAGTGATAAACCCCCTTATGACGCACTCTGTATTCTTACCTGGTGCAATTCATTGAAACCCGTGGTTTGTTTCCCAAACGGCAGACGTTTGTTCTGATATAGTTTTAACAAGTACAGGTTTTGCCTACGTGCTTTTAAACTTCATTTAAAAACGTGACGACCACCATAACTAAAAACCCGCTGACGAACAGGCACCGGCACGGCACGCCCCCTTCGCGGTCCAGCTGAACTGCAAAAGTCAAGCGAGCGTTCAGCCGGTACATCAGCCATGGCGCGCGTGCAAGGCACTGGCAGATCAGCCCAGCTGTGTATGGCAAGCTGTTTTAACATTTAATCATTTAAACCTACCAGTCTCTATTTTCATGCTACTAGTACTTATTTTTTTAGATACTAGTATCTATTCCATTAAGCACTAGTACTTATTCATTAGCTACAATATTCTTTAGTACGAGTGCCTTATCCAGATAGCACAAGTCTATTTGATGTAATGTTTACATCTGGAATACATATTTTAAAGAGTGTTTGCTCATCTGCAATACGTGTATTAGGGCTGGGTAATAAATATCGATTTCTCGATATTAATCGATTCTCATTTTTACGAACCGATATCGATTCTTAAGTCTCAAGAATCGATTAGTCATCCTGTTTCATTTGAATGAATGGGACATTGTATCGCTGGCTGCTGCGCGTATTCAAAAAATCGCAATAATCTTTGTCCTTTGTTACTATTGATATGAAACAAAGTCTCAATTTTCAAATTACGTCCATTTTCTTTAGAAATTCAAAAACATAAATAGAGTTTTGGCGCTGTGGCGTGAGATCGCTCTGGAGAAGCATGCAGCGCTGATCTCTCTTCCGGGTTAATAATACCAGTCACAGCGCGAAATAAACATGAAGGAGCATCTGAAAGTGTGTTAAAAGATAGAGTACAACTTATCGAAATCCGTATCATGTCACATTCATTCGCTCAATCAGCGTTTCAACCGTGGAAAGACGTCAGTTAAACAGCTTGTAATCAATGTCTTGTCATGTATCGTCATATTTACCTCAGAAGACCCACATCAACTCGTTAGTCAGATAGAAAAAAATAACTCCAGACTGGAGCATTTTGCTAAATATATACACTATATTACATATGCATTATAATCTTAAAGTTCTTCAATATTTTATGCATATTTTAATAAATCTGGCAAGTTTTTTATGACAGCCACAATTTAAATGTTTATATTTCATATAATCTTCTTATTATAAAAATAAATAAAAGTGTAATTTGCCTTTGTAATTTGTAATGTCGCCTTGCTTTTGGCTTGCTTTGGGCTTGCTCAGTTGGGGTTATTTAGTGTTTAGCAATATTATTGATCTGTGTTGTACTACTTTCATGTTATCACTGTGAAGCTGCTTTGATACAATCTGTATTGTGAAAAGCGCTATACAAATAAATGTGACTTGACTTGACTTAATTTAAGTGATTCATTCATTATTACCTTCATATTTGAATAAATCTGGCAAGTTTTTATGACAGCCACCATTTAAATGTTTATATTTCATATAATCTTCTTATTATAAAAATAAATAAAAGTGTAATTTAAGTGATTCATTAATTATTACCTTCCTATTAGGCTAATGAAGCCTAGTAGGCTACAACTATAGTCTCCCATAGTTTACAGTAGGGGTGTCACGATTCTCCAAATCCTCGATTCGATTCCATTTTCGATTCTTAGGTCACGATTCGATTCGATTCTCGATTTTTATCAATCGGCCAATCAAGATGCTCTCCTCATTACATGACATGTGCTTTATGCCCATTTCACACATACTCTGTGTGCAGTGCGTATGTTGCGGTGTGTACGATACAGGAGCAGCACGCGCTACAGTGCTTTCACATAAGCTGCATCTGCTGTGCGTAACTGATCCGCGGCTGTACCACAAACACAGCCTACTCACTATTTTTATTTCAAATTTAGATATGCAGCAAATTTTATTTAAAAAAAAAAAGTTGTGTCAGCATTGCAAACACAATATAAACAACGTAGGTCTATAATTACATGCATTACTTATATTGGTTCTCAAGCAAATGGTCAAATATTCAACCATATAGGCTATATTAAAATCACAAACATTTTAAATTAAAACTTTAAATTCACAAAAACAGCCGACTCTCCTCCTTTTCTTTTGCATTTAAATTTTAATACAATAATCTTGCATGTCTCAATGAAGTTGTTATTCTACCTCCACGAATGAGACGAGTGTTGTTCATAATGACCTTGTTGAGGTAAATTGTAGTTTTCCTTGCTTAAAACCCCGGTCTTAAAATAAAAAGATGAAAAGTAGTATTTAATTAAATACATTTATGGTGTCATGAAACTGCACATGGAACATGGACAGAGGTGATCCAAACGCAGGCTTTATTAAAGAGGAGAATCCAGAGACAGGTACAAGGAAACAGGCAGGGGTCAAAACCAGGTAAGCAGTCCAGATCAGCAATCAAACAATGCAGGGATTAGGCAAATGGGAAGACCAGATACAGGCAGAGAGTCCAGGAACCGTGAAACTAGGAAATACTAAGGAAACTAGGAAATACTAAGGAAACTAGGAAATACTAGTCTAGGAAAACACTCGAAGCAGTCAGACACTATACACACAATACTGAGCACCGAACAAAGGGGAAACTCGGGCTTAAGACAGGTGCATCATAGAGTGCCTTTAAGACACTAAACAAGATAATAAAACACAGGTGCATTAAATAAATCATAATCAGTCCAGGGTAAAACATGAATGAAACAATAAACTAGGAAGGAGTGCCCCCCAGAGGCTCAAGCGGGCACTCCAGCCGCAGATCGTCACATATGGTGAGATTACTACATTTTATTGAATTAAATGCATTTATATTGAAACTAATACATTTTCAGGTCAATCTGAGTTCATTTTGACCACGAACCGTGCGCTAGTCATTTCAGCGTTTGCAGCACAGCAGAAATAGACTCGGCGCGGAAACGATCTCTGCACTGCTGTACGCACTGCACCTGGAACGGATCGACGGACTGCATCTGCGTGCAGTGTGAAAGCTGTTAACATGGGTACGGAAACAAATACGCACCGCATACACATTGCAAACAGTGTGTGTGTGAAACGGGCGTTATGAGGAACACATGCAAGCCAAGGTCTCTCGCTCTCTCCCTCTCTATCGTGCGCGCAATACGGTTTGGAGCACAGTTTTTTTCTGTCTCAGCATGCACGCTCGCTCTTGCTCACTCGCTCTAGATTTCGGGAGATTTTAACCAATTTGCGTGTATCAGGGAGTCGCTATCAATATGCGGGAGACTCCCGGCACTTTGCCGAGACTTTGGATGTCTGCAAACTGGGGCTTTTTTGAAGCGCGAACGTTGTCAACATTACTCACTGGAAATCCAAAAAACTTCCACACTTGCGACTTCAATGAAAGAAGAGGGGGTTCACATTCTGTTGATGGGTCTCCTGTGTCTGCATTTTCCATGCTATCTTTTGAATGACAGAGGTTGACCATAGACTCGCAGCACTTACATGCGTGTTTTTTTCTGCTTGGCAAGCCAAACGGACGTTATATGGGGGCGTGGCAGCATCGACGATTTTGAATTAATTTCGATCGATTTCGATTTTATTTAATTTCGTGACACCCTTAGTTTACAGCATTAGTTAAGAGATTTAATTCCCTTGAGAAAAATTGCCATTTATTGTAACTGATATCCAAAATAATCGATATTGAATCGAATCGTAATCGAAATCGAATTGAATTGAAAGCTTGTGAATCGAAATCGAATCGAATTGTGAAATTTGTCTCAATACCCAGCCCTAACATCTATAGGACATCTTCTTTCAGATGTCAAATAGACGTTTAGAAGATGTCAGTTTAACATGCATTCTAAATCATTACATCTTAAAGACATCTTCTAAACGTCTATTTGACATCTGACAGGGACGTCCTATAGACGTATTGCAGATGAGCAAACACTCTTTAAAATACGTCTTCCAGATGTAAATATTACATCAAATAGACTTGTATCTGGGATGCTTATTCTTTAGGTATTAGTACCTACTACGTATTCATTAAATACTAGTACTTATTCATTAGATACTAGTTCTTATTCATTAGTTTACTTATGATTAGATACTAGTACTTATTCATTAGATACTACTTATTCATTACATACTCCTATGAAATATTTGTATTTTCATTAGTTACTAGTATTTATTCTTTAGATACTAGTTCCTATTAAATAGATACTAGTACTTCATCAGTTATTCATTAGTACTTATTTCGATGGTGACTAGTAGTGTTGCTTTCGTCAACGAAAATTATGACTAAATATTGTCATCAATGAACCTTTATCACGTGACGAAAACGAGACGAGACGCAACGTAAATGCTGGTCATGTGATGATGACTATAACTAAATGTATAATGCAATATCGTTGATGAATAAAAACGAGACTAATGCTGCGTCCCAATTCGCTTACTTATACTACGCCCTAAAAGTATGTACTCTTTTTGTGAGGAAAAAGTACTTTGAGTGTGTAGCAAAAGAGTAGACAAGCTTTGGGACATACTATCACGTCATCTTTGTCGCGTGCTGCGTGCATCCTGTCACCGTAAACTGCCCTGTCAATCATCTTGTCACAGTTAAAATCCTCCATTCTATCTAATTTTATTTCCTACCGTTTCGGAGAGCACGTTCATCTGCCAGTTGTGGGTCTTTCATGCTCTCCTCGTGTTTGCAATTTAAATATAATGATGATGCATTTAAAACATAATGGCTAAACGTGTTGTGGTGTGGGGGGGGGGGGGCGTGGGCGGGAAAGTGGGGGAGGAGCCGAGCGGGAGGTAAGCGGGTCAAGTTCAAATGATAAACACCTGTCTGTGATTTCAGTGATTGGCGTTGGGAGAGCGTATTTAAGCGGGCCAGGTGGACGCGACAGTTGAGAGAGAGCCTGGAGCTTGTGTGTGTGCGTCTGGGACTAAAGTGGAGCCTTGCCTGTGTCTGATCCTTGGTCGTGTCCAAGAGGAGCTGTAATCAGCGGAAAGACTGCCACATCAGAGAACGGGAAAGCTGTGAACAGCGGGAAAGAGTTTGATTTACTGTGACTGTTTTGAGTTGAATGTGACAAGCGCTGAGGCGCTGTGGAAAGAGTATTTTTGTAAAAATAAAGCACACGAGCTCCAGTATTCGCCGACCCCTTGTCTTCTTCCATCACCCTCACTGAACCTGAGTTTC